AAGTTAGCTATTTTCGCGCCAAAAATTTTTATGGGGCCATGCGTGAGAGCCGCATATGTCTGGGGGCTGAATTTGATAATTTTAGGTCAAACCTGGGCTGGGAATATCCCTTAAAAATTTCAGCCTCTCAGTTTTCCTAGTTTCCGAGTTAGCCATTTTCTCGCCAAAAACTTTAACGGGGCCGTCCGTGAGAACCACGTATGATCGGGAGCTGAATTTGATAGGTTTATGTTGTACTAATGCTGGGAACATCCCTTGAAAATTCCAGTCTCCCAGCTTTCCCGGTTCCCAAGTTGGCCATTTTCGCACCAAAAAAGTATTACGGGGCCATACGTGAGAATCGCACATACCGCCACCACTTCCACTCGCCACATTCAAATTGCCGTTACCCTCCATGGGGCAGCTACCTGCCGTTGGACGAAAAAATTTTTTGCAGCTCGTGTATGATACGAGCCGAGCCGAGTCATTGTAAATGGCTAAAAATATGGCAATTACAATAACTCGGCTCGACTCGTCCGGTGATCTGTAGTGCTTTGGCCTTCCAGCGCTTTGCTCTATCATCTCTGCCGATAGTATTTCATGGCGTCGCTCGCTGGAACTTTGTCAGACGCGCTGGGCAGCGCTGCCATTGTTTAGCGGTTGGATCGCGTGGCCCGGGGGGCGATGGGTGCGGGGATTGGACGTGGCTGGGGGTGATTATTGGTAGTTGCCTAGAAACAGCTCAGAGGGCGGATAAAGGGGAGGAATGAAGTTGCTGGTTAGAAGTTCAGAACGATAAACGGCGACAGTGGTTGGAGGTGGTAGGTGCCCCGATGTGGCTCTCGAAGCGGGGATTGGGGAGAGGATACAGGAGAGAGAGAGAAGGGTGCTAGTCAGGAGTTCGAAGCAAGAAATGCAGATAGCAGTAAAGAGGAAAATAAATCAGTACGGCACTACAAAGAAAAGTAAATTAAAACAGACTTGAATTTGTGAATAAAAGGAAAAAGCAAAATCAAAGAATTGGAACCTGTAATCAAGAGCAAAAAAAGCAAAAGCAATCAAAAACTGAGCTTATGCGAGTAGGATTTGTCTTGCAAAAATCCGTTTTCAGTAAGCGTTCCCTGTATTTATGAGGTTTATGCTTAGGTGAAGCTGAGGCAAATAAGTTCGACTGAATTTACTGAAGCTTATGCTTAGGTGAAGCTGAAGGCAAATAAGTTCAGTTGAATTACACAAGAATTGCAAACATTTCCACAGTGTTACTTCTTGTAGCCTGCAACTGTGCACAACAGTCATACTTTTGTTTTTTGGTCTTCAAAATCTCACAGAAGCGAAGGCTGACTTCATCCCCAGGCATCCATTCTCACTGTTTTTGCCCACTTCTTGGAACCTATTCGCTCTCAGCTTTAATTAAGCATCAGTTTTGTAAATAGGAAAGCCTAATGACGGTTTTTGTGGAACAGCTTTTCTTAAGCATCAGTTTCACAAATAGGGCTTTTTGTGGAACAACTTTACCTAAACATCAATTTCATAAATGAAGAAGCCTAATGATGGGTTTTGTGGAGCTTTACCTAAAGATTCAATTTCATAAAAAGGGAAGTCACAAAAGCATACTTTCTCATCCTTTCTGTTCTTCATCACTTCCTTTCCGTTCTTCATCACTCCCCTCTTCCCTCAAATGTACGTTACTTAGTCAGTTGGCAAAGGATCTAGCCATTTAGTTCTTATATCCACTTATCCTAGCCGCCCTTCTCTGCCTCGAACGAAACCCGCCACATACCACCCCCACTTCCACTTAC